GGGGGGGGGGGGGGGGGGGGGGGGGGGGGGGGGGGGGGGGGGGGGGGGGGGGGGGGGGGGGGGGGGGGGGGGGGGATTTCGCACAGAAAACAGTATATGAATAATAACATATAAATTAATCAACTAATTACCCCTAAATCCGAATAATAAATATTATCATCAAATGAATATTTTTTTGTGGGGAGCCCCACGCCTCCGAGCCCTCTCCATTCCCCTTTAAAAATGCCCAATGCGGACGGTACGTTTCCCGCACATCTCAAAAATTCATCATTCCCCATAAATCCAGCCGTCATTATGATAATAGTTCCCCCAACTTTCCTGAATAAAAAACTTTGGAGCCCACAGCGCAGGCGTTAAAAATAGTCAGCCCGCAGTAACCCCCGATTTCCCTCAAAAGTGATTGAACCGTCGAGTCCATCAAAATGGAAAGCCCAGCAGTTCCTCGAGGGTACAAGAACACGGCCAGCGAGGCGGACATAAATTACGTCGTGAAGATATCGCGAACGCTGCTGACGCCGATCGGGATCTACCCGCTGCACGGATCAGAGACAGCGATCAGTGACTTTCTCGTGGCAATTCAGATAATTTTCGTCTTCTCCCTGATGCTGTTCCTCCTGGTCCCCCACCTGATCTTCACTTACTGGGACGCCGAGGACCTGACCAAGCTGATGAAGATCATCGCCGCTCAGGTCTTCAACTCCCTCGCCCTCATCAAGTTCTGGACGATGATCATCAACAAGAAGCCGTTGAGGTGGTGCCTGGAGGAGCTGCAGGACAGCTGGAGGAGCGTCAGCTGCGAGGAGGACAAGGAAGTCATGATCAAGAACGCCAAAACCGGGAGATTTCTCACGGTGGCCTATCTCAGTCTGTCCTACGGCGGCGCCTTGCCTTATCACATTGTCATGCCCCTCGTGGCTGAACGAATTGTCAAACCTGACAACACCACCCAGATACCCCTGCCATACCCCTGCGACTACGTTTTCTTCGTTCCTGAAGACTCGCCGGGATACGAGATGCTGTTTGTCACGCAGATCATCATCAGCAGCTTGATTTTGTCGACAAATTGCGGAATTTATAGCTTGATTGCGACGTACATCGTGCACGCCTGCTGTCTCTTCGAAATCGTGGCGAGACATCTGGATCAAGTGGGAACGGGCGAGGGGGAGATGGCGGAAAGACTCACTGCGGTTATTCAGAGACACATCTTTGCTATGAAGTAAGGATTGGCTGGAAAAATTCAGTCAGTTCTGCTTTAAATTTCCGACGCGAAGGAAGTTATCGCAGTGATCCCGAAAATCGAATGTGAAGTTGGTTTTTTATTCAAGGATATTTTTACCGCAATCTTATTGACTTCCATTAATTTACTGGGAATAATTGAATTGTTATTCACAGTTCTCATTAATTTTTCCCTGAAATTCTGAATTTTCAATGACGAAGCATGGATTTGGTGGTTTAATTATTCGTTTCAGCTGATTAAATCTGAATGGCATCAGTGTCGACAATTTAATCAATCGATTTTCCATAGTCAGAGACAAAAAAAACTTCACTTTATCAAAACTTTAAATAGAGCCAATTCGATTTTCAGATATGCGTTGACTCTGGAAAAGTCTCTCAACATTGTTTTCCTCTCCGAAATGCTGGGCTGCACTGTCATCATCTGTTTCCTTGAATACGGCATACTCTTGGTAAATAAGTCCGCAATAAAAATAAAAAATAACAAGAAGATTTCACTGAAAAAATTCACAGGATTTCGCGGAGGGAAACTATCTGGGGATGGTGACGTACGTCGTGCTGATGACGTCCATTTTAGTTAATGTCTTTATCCTCTCGTACATCGGTGACCGTTTAAAGGAACAGGTAAATCAGCCATTCATCCCGCACAATACAAATGTTGATATAAACGTTCGATTTTCCCATTTATCAGAGCTCAAAAATTTGTGAGCACACGTATGACCTTGAGTGGCACTCACTGCCGAAAAATATAGTGAACGATTTGATGTTCATAATGGTGAGATCGAACCAGCCGGTGACATTGACAGCTGGAAAACTGTTTGACGTTTCTCTGGCGGGATTCGCCGATGTGAGTACCACGAATTTAGCGAAGCGGTAAAACAATGAGAATATCTCTCGATCTAAGGCAGATAGCGAAATTTTAGTTAGAACCTTTTTTATAGGGCGGATTACGATCTACAAAAAAGCTCGGTACGAAAATTTCCCCATCTCCCTTAGATTCCGAGATATTCCACCAAAACTAAGAATTAAGTCATAAGGGTGAATCCCTCACCAATTTAACTACATTCGCCCGCAGGTTGTTAAAACATCAGCCGCATATTTGAACTTCCTGAGAGAAGTAGTCTAGTCTCCATCCTCCGGCGCTGTAGCACAATTTAAGCTGCGAATTTATTACTGCACTAGTCCCTAAAATAACATTGTGAAAATTTCATAATAAAATGTTGAGTTGAATAACGATGCTGAGTTTCCATGCGCATTATTATCAAGACGAATACCAGATTTCAGCATTACAAAATACCCAAACTGCGTGAGATGTACATAAAACTTCTGTCTATTCATTTTTACGACGAGATTTCACTCTCGCCAAACGAGAAGTGCCTCATTATTCCAGAACATCATTCTCGAATTCACCAGATCACTGAATTATTTCCAGCCACCCGCTTCACCGAAGCGCAGAGAGCCGACTACTCCCCCCTATTTTCCCGCAAACTTCTGACCCCCGTCATCGAAAGTTCCCCTCAATCAATCTCCCCAATCTGCATTAAAAAATAATCCAGTATTCTCGGTAATCGTTAAAATTATCGGTAGAAAACTTCAGAATGACTAGCAGCGAACGCAAGCGCAGTGTTCACCGCACTTCATCAGGGACTGGCCACCCAGTGCTCAATGACTTTTCGATGAGGAAGGATGGCCGGAAGAGTACGACATGCAAGAACCCCAAGGAGAGATCAAATAAATAATGGAAATCGCGTTGGAAGTGCATTCGAGGCGGATGTTGATTACGCAATTGGCATAATTAGGTGGCTCCTGAAGCCGTTGGGCTTGTGGCCAAAAACAGCCAACTCAACGCGCTCCGAGAGGCTGACAGCCATCTTCCTGATGAGCGTTTGCACATTTCTCCTGGGTTTTTTAATCGTACCAGGGAGTCTGTTCGCATTTGTGAAGATAAAAAATCCAGCTGTGAGGCTGAAGCTGACGGGCCCCTTGAGCTTTTGCGTCATGGGGATAATGAAGTACTATTCCCTAGTGGTCGAACGTCGGAATATCGCCAGTTGCATTCAGCACATGACAGCTGACTGGCAGAAAGCCGTCTCGACGCATGATCGAGACATAATGCTGACGTATGCCCAATTCGGAAGGTATGGAGCAACAATTTGCACGGGCTTCATGTACAGCGGAGGCTTGTTCTACGCTGTTATCCTGCCGTACGTATCGGCTGGTGCTAGGACTGAGGGAAATGGTACGGTTAGATCGCTTGCCTATCCGAGCCACTATGTTCTGTTCGATCCGCAAGTGAGTCCGGCTTATGAAGTTGTCTTTTCAACTCACTGTTGCTGCGCTTTCGTTATGCATTCCATTACGAGCGCCACCTGCAGCCTCGCTGTGGTCTTTGCAATGCATGCGTGCGGACAATTGGAGATCTTGATCGTGTGGCTGAATGATTTGGTGGACGGAAGCGGGCAGGCTGAGGACAGGCTTTCGGAAGTGGTTGAGCAACATGTGAGAACTCTCAGGTGAGGTAGTTTTATGGTGGGACATGGGGACGTGCGCGGTGAGAGTAATTATGAGGCCAAATAATTTTCTCTGTGTACATCACCTATATTATTAACAATAATGTCTGACTGGCTTAAAATCATGGGGATACGTCATTTCATAAGCTACTCTGGATTGTCTAGCTTCATCATCCGTGCAGAAGGCGTTCTCCGCGAGATTTGCCTAGTAGAAATATGTGGCTGCACATTGAACATCTGTTTCATTGGTTATTACTTAATGATGGAGTGGGCCCAAGCCGATGCTGTGGGGATAACAACCTATACAATACTCCTCATCTCCTTCGTCTTCAATATTTTCCTCTTCTGCTATGTTGGAGAGCTCCTCACCGAAGAGGTAAGGACCCCACGTATCTCATAAAGTTGAAGACAGATATCATGACTGGAGGTCCATTAGTGCCAACGGAATTTATTAGTGCAAAAAAGTAGGTGAGACGACGTACATGATGGAGTGGTACAGGCTGCCTGATAAAAAAGCTCTGGGGTTGACACTCGTCATTTCAACTGCTCAACATCCCGTGACGATTACTGCTGGGGGGATGATTGCACTGTCGCTGAGCAGTTTTTGTACTGTGAGTGTATTCGTATCGCATTATTATTATTTTCAATATATTAACATTCTCTGTTAACTCAAAAGGTCATTCGAACAGCCGTTACATATCTCAATCTTCTGCGAACGCTCATGGATTGAGACTGAAGCCTACCTGATTTATATATAAGAAACAATAATTGTTGATTGTGGTTAAGGTATTTTAATAAGGGAAGCGAAGAATTATGAACCGAAATTTGCGTCGAAAATAAACTTGTGAAGTCTACGAGGTTTTATTTCCCTCCACACAATGAGAAAACTCAACTTTCGAGCTCAGAAAATAACAAGGGTAATTGCGGTTTTCCTATTATATCTCAACAGTTGTGCTATTGCGTTATTATTATTCAACACTCTTGGATTATTTCTGTTACCTGACGCATTTCCCTCGATTTATCCTTATTACGCCGATTTATTATCCCGAATTTCGTCAGCTGTGAAGAAACCACTCGGAGAGACTTCTGTGAGAAACTTATGAGCCGTCTAGTGCTCAGGAAACGGTAGTGATAATTCTGATTATTGCTGACATTTGCAAGAGGGTTGAATCGAAAGCGGACGCGCTTCTCCCCTGCTTCGATGAAGCGTAAATCGGAAATAGTAATAATTGCTTCAAAGAAGCAATCCAACTTTATAATTGTCGAGCCATCTGACTTTCCCACGCATTGCGTAAGAATAATCGTCGTAAAGTTTACCCCTTGCGCATGCGTTTTTCTCACCATTTCGCTGCACTTTTCTTTCATTTTCTCATCAGTTCGGTATCAACCGTCAACTAGACGAAAATGAGAGATGAGTTCGCTGTGCTGGGGGCAGTTCCCGCGCACTCAGAGCGATCGAAAGACGACATGAAATACAGTACTGAATTGAACCGTTGGTTCCTGACACCGATCGGTATCTGGCCAACTCGAAGTGATACTCACATTATCGAGAAAATCTTGTCCGAGTTCCTAGTCTTTCTCTCTTGTTTTCTAATTTGTTTCCAGCTGGTGCCCTGTCTTCTCCATACTTTCATAAAGGAGCAAAATCCTAAGCTCAAGATGAAAATGATTGGCCCGTTGAGTTTTGGCTTTATGTCTATCAGCAAGTACCTCTTCATGGTCGCAAGGAAACAAGAAATCGGCTATTGTCTTGAGCACATTGATGTCGACTGGAGGAGGGTCGCATATCTGGATGATCGAGAGATTATGCTGATGAACGCCAAACTGGGTCGCTTCATCGCTTGGCTGTGTGCAGCTTTTATGTACGGAGGGGGTCTCTTCTACCACACGGTCATGCCCTTCGCAGCTGGAAGTTTCGTCACACCTGACAACATCACCATTCGACCCTTGGTTTACGCTATTTACGATCCTCTCTTCTCCGCGCAGACAACTCCGTCGTATGAGATTGTTTTCACGATTCAGTGCTTCTCTGGATTTGTTGTCGACACTGTTACCATTGGAGCTTGCAGCCTTGCCGCTGTCTTCGTGCTTCACATATGTGGACAGCTCAAGATTGTGAGGTCAAGGTTGGAGAGTTTTGTCAAAGGAAGGATATACGAAAGAAAAAATGTGGAGGGTCGAATGGCTGAGATTATCGAACTTCATTTGCGAGCTCTTGGGTAAGAATAATTTGCCAATTTGTGAGCTCAGTCTGAGCGCATTGTGAGTTCTTTCAGGTTCGTCGTTCGTGTCGAGGGAATTCTCACTGAAGTTTGTTTCATTGAGTTGGTTGGCTGCACTATGAACATATGTTTTCTTGGATACTACTTCATGACGGTAAAAAATCACTCGTGGAATTTGGAAAGATGAATCATAACGTCATTTTATTAGGAGTTTGACCAGAATGCAGCAATAGGCACAATTACCTACTGCATTCTCCTAGTATCTTTCATCTTTAATATCTTCATATTCTGCTACATAGGTGAAACGCTGACCCAACAGGTATGTACACAATCTCGTAAATTCCGAGTTAAACTACTGCTCGAATGGCTTTCAGGAGGATAAAGTCGGTAGAACAGCGTACATGATCAAATGGTATGAATTACCTCCTAAAAGTGCAAGGGATCTAATTTTTCTTCTAGCTATGACGAAAACTCCAATTTGCATCACAGCTGGAAAAATGGCGGAATTATCGTTTCAGAGTTTTAGTGGAGTAAGTATGAAATTTCATCATTCTTAATGAACAAATATCAGAGTAATTGACACTTTATTCGATGTCAGGTATTAAAAACTGCAGCGGCGTATTTGAATCTTCTACGAACACTTCTAATGTAATTCAATGTTTAATCGAATATATATTGTTCAGTCATTGCCGCTTACAATTCTTTTGTCCGAGTACCAAGTAGGAATAGATGCCCATTTCACCTTGATTTTCCTTTCATTTTTCGTGACTAAGAATGGAAGAGAATAATTATGAATTGATTATTAAAATATTTTACTAGCGAAAATTGAAAATTCGAAATGTCAATTTTCTTCGGATATAAACTTGCCCACTCAGAGAATAATCTAAAAGTAATTACGTTTTTATCGCTCACAACTTTTACCTGATGCATTTCACTCGATCTATTTCTGCCTCACCAAGCCATTTTGAGAGATTTTCGTAAGGAAAGTGTGAGCCATCCAGTGCTCAGACACCGACAGTGATAATTCTGGCCATTTCTGACATCCGCAAGAGGGTTGAATCGTCCCCTTTCTTCCCTGCTCCGATGAAGTTAAATCGGAGACAGTAATAACTGCTTCAAAGAAGCAATCCAACTTTATAATCGCCGAGACAGCTGACTTTCCCACGAATTGCGTAAAAATAATCGTCGTAGGTTCACCCCGCGCACGCGCTTTCCTCCCAATTTCGCTGCACTTTTCTTTCATTTTCTGGCCAGTTCGGTATCAACCGTCATCTAGACGAAAATGAGAGACGAGTTCGCTGTACTGGGGACAGTTCCCGCGCCCTCAGAGCGATCGAAAGACGACATGAAATACAGTACTGAATTGAACCGTTGGTTCCTCACACCGATCGGCATCTGGTCAACTAGAAGTGATGCTCACATTATCGAGAAAATATTGTCCGAGCTTCTAGTCTTTCTCTCCTGCTTTCTAATTTGTTTTCTGCTGGTACCCTGTGGCCTTCACACCTTCATAAAGGAGCAAGATCCGAAGCTCAAGATGAAGATGATCGGCCCGTTGAGTTTTTGCCTCATGTCCATCACCAAGTACCTCCTCTTGGTCGCAAGGCGACGGGAAATCCGTCATTGTCTCGAGCACATTGACATCGACTGGCGGAGAGTCAGATATCTGGATGATCGAGAGATCATGATGATGAACGCCAAACTGGGTCGGTTTATCGCTTGCCTGTGCGCAGTTTTTATGTACGGAGGGGGTTTTTTCTACCACACGATCATGCCCTTCGCGGCTGGAAGTTTCGTCACACCTGACAACATCACCATTCGACCCTTGGTTTACGCTATTTACGATCCTCTCTTCTCCGCGCAGACAACTCCGGCGTATGAGATTGTCTTCACGATTCAGTGGTTCTCGGGATTTGTTAATTACAGTGTTACTATTGGAGCTTGCAGCCTCGCCGCTGTATTCGTGCTTCACATATGTGGACAGCTCAAGATTGTGAGCTCAAGGTTGGAGAGTTTTGTCAAGGGAAGGACAGACGAAAGAAAAAATGTGGAGAGTCGAATGGCTGAGATTATCGAACTTCATCTGCGAGCTCTTGGGTAAGAATATTTTGCCAATTTGTGAGCTCAGTCTGAGCGAATTGTGAGTTCTTTCAGGTTCGTCGTTCGCGTTGAGGGAATTCTCAATGAAATTTGTCTCATTGAATTCGTTGGCTGCACTATGAACATATGTTTTCTTGGATACTACTTCATGACGGTAAAGAATCATTCAGGAAATCCGGAAAGATAAATCATAACGTCATTTTCTCAGGAATTTGAACAGAGCGCGGCAATAGCCACAGTTACCTACTGCGTTCTCCTAGTGTCTTTCACCTTCAACATCTTCATATTCTGCTATATTGGTGAAATGCTGACCCAACAGGTAGCCACACAATCCCGAAAACCCGAGTTTAAGTACTGTTGTAATGATTTTCAGGGTGATAAAGTCGGCAGAACAGCATACATGATCAAATGGTATGAACTCCCTGCTAAAAGTGCAAGGGGCCTGATTCTCCTTCTAGCCATGACGAAAAATCCGGCTAGCATCACAGCCGGAAAAATGGCGGAATTATCATTTCGGAGTTTTTGCGGAGTAAGGTGCTAATTTCGGTATTTTTAATCAACGAATATCATTATAGCGTGAAAATCATTCGATTTCAGGTTTTAAAAACAGCAGCCGCTTATTTAAATCTCCTACGAACTGTTGTAATGTGATTTCAAATGTTGATGGAATATTTTTTCCAAAATTGTTGACCCCCATGTAACCCTAATATGACCCTATAATACCTTTGAAGAACCTTTATGAATGTGACATTTTCATTGTTTCGTGTGTAAAGTGATGTTTTTATAATTTCACTCCAGCGTTATCTTCGAAGAGGCATTGTCGCTCAATTCCAGGAAAGCCAAAATAGTATATTACGCAACAAGTGCGGGAAGCAAGCGGTTACGCACGAGGGCGGCGCAGCCTGGGGGGGTTGGGGCGGGGGCGAAGCCCCCCCCCCACTGAAAAACAAAAAAAATCAAAATCAAGATCAAAAATTTAAAAAAAGTTCAGACTTGGAAATTGTTTGAAATCAAATTTCTCAATTTAATTGGGTGAAATTTCATAGACAGTCTTGTATTTATCAACCGATTTTTCGGGCGGATGTTTCGTTGTTAGCACTTGCAGCTTCGCCGCGGTCTTTGTGCTGCATGCGTGCGGACAACTTAAAATCGTCATGGCTCGGCTCAATGATTTTGTCGACGGGAATGGAAAGGTGGATAGTTCCGTTGAAGAGAGAATGTCCAATTATCCAACTGGGCTGACAGCTGGAAAGATGATTGAACTCTCCTACGCGAGTTTTTGTAGTGTAAGAAAATTTTATATTTCCTTTTTCCTTTTCTTAATTTACGCCGAAAAAAACGACGAGGTTGAGGATATTCCAAAGAGGTGAAATAACTCAATAATTTTTCAGTGTAAATCACCCCTAAAACTAGATTATTTCATGGTAAAATACTCTCAAAAGAATTTATTCTCACTGATTCTTGAGGAATTTTTTTTCTAGTTATGTAGTTTACGTTAATCATTCCGATTTTATTTTCTCAGGTCCTCAAAACTGCAGCCGCTTACTTCAATTTCATTCGGACAATGATCCTATGAAAAAAGCCAAGTGTCATTGCAAAAAAATATTGACATGTATAGCTATTTAGTAGTAATGTTTTATACGCCAAATAAAATTACATTCCATTAGCCTACAGCTGGATTACTTCATAATTCCCTCGTTACGCCATCAAAAATTCGAAAAAAAAGAAAATCAGTAAGAAAGCGGTAAAAGGTTCAAGTGATTACTGCCCATCACTTTTCAAAATTAAAAATTTGATTGTTTATTATTACTCTTATTATTTTCAAAAATAAATGAAAGAGTAGAAAATTGAATGAACCACTAATTTAATTACGCGCGCCGTCCTTTTCTAGTAAATAATAAAAATAAAAAACGTAATAACTTAATTCTCGAAACCAATCTATTTCCACTCGTCAGAGGCACACACTTTGTTCCAGCGATTGGTCTGCCTAATCAAACGTCTGGTAACTTTCTCAAGCGTGACCGCAAATAGAAATTTGCACCCTCGCACGAGGGGTGATTCGTCCCTCTCATACGCAAGCGCACAGCAGCAGCTTTTTCCCCTTTGACTTCACTTTTTTCAGTATTCTTTCAATCGTCGATCGGTCAAAGATGAAAAACCAATCGCCAATCCTCGGTGCCATACCAGCGCCGAGTGAGAGATCAAGACGTGATTTCCAGAGGGCGACTAATATCAACCGCTGGCTGTTGACACCGCTCGGCATATGGCTGAGAGAAATCGACATTGATGTCACGGAAAAAGTGCTGTCAGGCCTGGCAGTCATCGTTTGCTATTTTCTCATATTTTCCCTCCTCATCCCCTGCGCTCTGCACACATTTCTGGTGGAAAAAAGCGCCAGAAAGCAGATGAAGATGATAGGGCCGATGAGCTTCTGCGTAATGGCGATCATCAAGTATTTCTTCATGATCATGAGGAGAGAAAAAATCCGCGTCTGTTTCAACCACCTCGACGTCGACTGGCGAAGGGTGAAGAGCCCTCAGGACCGAGAGATCATGATGAGTGACGCTAAAATTGGACGGTTCATCGCGAGTTTGTGCGCCACTTTCACGTACAGCGGGGGATTTTTCTTTCGCACTATTCTACCGTTCGCTGTGCCGAGAAAGGTTCTGCCGGACAATACGACAATGCGACCGCTCATATATCCGGTTTACAGGGCGTTATTCAATTCGCAGAAGACACCGGCTTATGAAATTGTATTCGCCACTCAGTGGGTCAGTGGTCTCGTTATGTATACCATTACAGTTGCTACTTGCAGTCTCGCTGCTGTTCTCACTCTACATGCGTGTGGTCAACTGAAAATTGTCATGTCACGCATTGATGATTTCGTGGGGAGCAGTGTCGACACTGAGAAAATGTTGACGGATAGACTGGGGGAAATTGTGGAGCTTCATCATCGCGCACTGCAGTAAGATTTTTTCTCCGTTAATGATATCAATCTCCGGAGGATTTTTCCTTGCTTTCGGTTGATGTGTTACTGCTGACTGACGTTTTGTTTATTCACATGCACTGTTAGAAAGTTTTGTCTGAATTTTCCGGCAGACTTTTTGAAAATTTTTATCGAATGCAATTCTCACAAAAAAATTTTTATTTTGAAAAATGTGTCAAATAATATCTTAAACTGGCTCAATTTATATTTTAAAAAATATATAAAATATGTTTTATGTATTTTTTTTACGTATAATATATTCTGTATAGATTTTTTCAATATTTTTTTAAATTGGGGTTAATGACTGAAATTTCCAGGAATTTCGTCATTAAAAATTCAGAATTTCGTGGAAACATCAACGAGAATTGTAAACTTCAGTTTCACATTCCCCTGAAAATGAATAGAAAACCAGAAAATTCTGGAAAATATATTCTTGAATTTTCAGGACAGTTACACTGAATGCCATTTAGGGGTAAAAAACGTCGTAATAATTTCTCCAGCATCTCCTGACTTGCCTTAAATTAATTAACACGATGGCGACGAGAATAATTGTTGACTAATCAATTTCCCATTCACGATGAATAGTGTTATTTTCTGAATTTTCCAGACTTGTGGTAAAAATCGAGGGGATCCTGAACGAAATATGCTTCGTGGAGTTCATAGGGTGCACCATGAACATATGTTTCCTGGGGTATTACACTATTACGGTATTCAAGCAGTGACACCCGCATTCAATAACTGGTTTGCGTCTTGATCCGAATTTTCGAGTAATCTATTAATCTCCCCAGGAGTTGGAGCAAGGTAAAACATCAGCAATAGCTTTAGTGACGTACACCTTCCTGATGACATCATTCACGTTTAATATATTCATATTTTGCTACATCGGAGAACTTTTGAATCAGCAGGTAAGAATTCAGTAGCGAAGCGGTAAACCGGGTTAAGTCGATTTTTACTATTGGCTAGTTTTTGACGAATATCTCGGAATCTAAAAGAGATAGAAAGATTTTTGTCATGACCTTTTTTGTAGAGCCAATAGAGCGTTATAAAAAAAGTTATGAGGAAAATTTTGCTATCTCTCTTAGATTCCGAGATATTCAGCAAAAACTGGCTAATAGTCAAAATCGACTTAACTCGGTTTACCGCTTCACTACTGAATTGAGGGGGAGAAGTTTACACGAGATTGTGAAGCAGTCCTCACGCGACCTCACTGTTGTTTTTAAATTTAGGGGAGAAAAGTTGGAACGACTGCATACATGATTGAATGGTACGAACTTCCAGGGAAGAGTGCGTGCGGTTTAATTTTACTCCTGGCGATGTCCAACAGTCCGATCACAATCACGGCCGGAAAAATGGTGGAATTATCCTACGCGACGTTCTGCAATGTGCAATGATATGAATTTTATTGAGTTGAAGAATGATAATAAACAGGGAAGAGGATTAACTGATGATTTGTTTTAGGTCCTCAAAACAGCGATGGCTTATTTCAATCTCTTGAAGTCTGTGATCTTGTGATCGATGATTTTTATTCACTATATCTCGGATGGTGAAGGGTTCCACTCTAGAATTGTTGTTGTTGGAATCGATGAGCAATTGCAAAATACTTCTAGTCCCAGTCGTGCAGGGCTGAACAGAATTTTTTGAAGTTCCGTTTACTCTCTTTTTCGGAGATAATTTTAGCATTCAAACATTCTATGTTTTTTAGATATACTGATCCATTCATTCTCGTAATAAATGAACGGTTGATAACGAAAAATTACTCACAATAATTCCTCGTTCAATGGTATTTCCATTTCACTGTGCAGAAATCCAAGAATTATTTCGATTCCCCATACGGAGAGAAATGTTCAGTGAAAATTACGGAACTCACAGTTCGCTCACCGATTATGGAATCGACTCAGAAAATTTAAGTGACGGTATCATAATTTTTCACAGGAGATTCAGATAAAAAATACGTGCCAGTTCCGTAAAGTTTCCTACCACCACTCCGCTCCGGAATTACGGAAAAGATACATAATTTTTATTGAATATTTCTCTCCGTGCAACAGTGACGATCAGGCACCATGAAGAAGAGGCTAATTCAGCCACGACGAGTCCACTCCAGCCACGACAACGTCAGGCAACTTTCTCACGGTCCTACAAGAATAATCAACCTCCCGCCCTCTCCCGCAGTCGCAAAATTCGCCTGCGCGCACGCGTTTCAAAATCGGTAATCCACCTGGGCGATATTGCCCGTCAGTTTCACAGAGAGTCTCGTGCAAACTCACCATGAGAAACGAATCAGCAGTACTGGGTTCTGTTCCCCCCGAGACCAGCAGATCAGAGCGCGACACAAAGTACGGTACAAACATGGGCCGATGGTTCTTGATGACGATCGGCGTTTGGCCGCTGCCGGCAGACAGCCACATAATGAAGAAAATACTCTGCGAGACATGGGTTGTCATGTGTCACGTTCTGATAATATTCATTCTCGTCCCCGCGTTTCTCAATACAGTACTGGTGCAGAAGGACCCACGCAAGCAGATAAGGATGATTGGACCGATGATATTTTGCCTGACTGCCCTGACGAAGTACAATTTTCTGGTGGGACACAGACCGGGCATCAGCGCCTGCGTGGAGCACATGAACGCCGATTTCAGGAGAGCCAAGTGCGAGGACGACAGGACGATCGTCCTGAATTACGCGAAAACGGGGAGACACATCGCCACTGTATCGACGACTCTGATGTACGCAGCTGGCTTCTTCTACCGGACTATTCTGCCCCTCACGCGACCCACCATCGTCACCCCGAATAATCTGACGGTTCGACCGCTGACAGCGCCCATCTACGATCCTCTCTTCAGCGCTTACACGTACAGATCTTGGACGATTGTGTTCATCGGCCAGTGGTTCAGCGGATATGTCATGTACACGACTGCCGTGGGCGCCTGCAACTTGGCGATTGTCTTTGTTCTTCATGCTTGTGGACAACTGAAACTCGTCATGGCGAGGCTGGAGAGCTGCGTCGAGGGGAACAAACATGTTCCCGCTGGGGTTGAGGACAGGGTCGCGGAGATTGTGGAGCTCCACGTCAGATCGCTGTGGTAAAAACAATTTTTCTGGAATCGTCTGCCAAAAACGGTCCAAGTCGACTCAGCTCCCAGTTGAGTTTTTGGAGAATATTTCCGAATCAAAGGGAGATAGCGAAATTTTCATTGTAACGTTTGTTGTAGCTCTCAATTGGCTCTACAAAAAAGGTTCTAACAAATTTTTGCTATCTCCTTTAGATTCTGAGATATTCAGTGAAAACTGGTCAATAGTCAAAATTCACTTGTACCGTTTTACCACTTCGCTACTGAATGGGAATTTACAATGTTGGAATTTCAGCTTTGCCTTTCGCGTGGAAAGTATTCTGAATAAAGTGTGCTTTGCTGAAGTCGGCGGATGCACACTTGTCATATGTTTCCTCGGATACTATCTCATAACGGTGATTACGAGGAATTATGCGCCCCCGAGGGTCTTGATTAATCTGATTTATTATTTGAATGAAATATAGGATGTCAATTCTCATGAAACAGCAATATCTCTACTCACGTATTATGTACTCATCATATCGTTTACCTTCAATATCTTCATATATTGTTATATTGGAGAAATGCTGACGCAACAGGTGAGTCTACCACAATTTTTTTTGTGAAAAATATTTTCAGCTTTTTCAACTGCGAAAAAATTTCGAAGTTTTCTATAGAATTTTCTCGACTCAAATTTTCCGATTTTTTTTAAATTTTATTTTTCTGTTTTTTGTCCAGAAAAATGAGCAAAAAAAATTGGAAAATTTGAGTTGAGGAAGTTCTGTAGAAAATATATGAAAGGAATAAGTTGGATAGGAAACAGGAATTTCTCAATAGAATATTAAAACTAATGGAAAGTTCAATATTAATCCAATAGAACTGTCTAGCAAATTCGCTAGATTTCTCTATTTTTTTCCATATTCTACACAATCCCCGGGCTATCGACACGGTCGAACCTTAAATTTTTTTAAGGTATAAATTACATGGAAAGCAGGACGCTGTATGCTAAATAATTCTCAATGAAATGAATGAATGAATAATTATTTCCTTCACTCGTATTAATTTTTTTTCACGCGTGATCTCATCCCTTCCGCTACTTCATCACTGAAATAGAATCTCCCGATTAAATAACCCGAAAATCTCTTGATTTTCAGGGTATGAAGGTCGGCACTGTCGCTTATTTAATCGACTGGCATAAGCTGCCGGTGTCAAGTGCTAAAGGTATTATGCTCATAATATCGATGTCTGGATATCCCACGAGTATCACAGCCGGAAGAATGATGCAACTTTCGTACAACAGTTTTTTGAGTGTTAGTATACCCCACTTCGCATAGCAAAATGAAACGTCAAGCGGTAATAATTGTTTCCAGATAATGAAAACTTCGGTGGCGTACCTAAACGTGCTTCGAGAGATGACGGATTAACTCGTCAGTTCGTCCCTCGCGCTCATTACAAGAGCAATATCATAATCAATCTGTATCGTAATTTGATGGTCATTACACTAAGAACTCGGAATAAAATTGCGATTCCTGTACTTTCATTGGTCTCTTCTTCCTGAGGTTTATGGGGAGAAATCTATCAGACTATCAATCGAATTGACGAAAACTGTTGAAAAATTATAGTGCACTGTTGGCGGAAAAACGTACTGAAATTTCCTTTAGACTTGATTAAACAGTAAAAAAAATCGGTGTGAGGGTTTAAGATTTTATTCCGGTGTCAGATTTTGGTAGCGAGTCAATTTTTATTTTTCACACCGAACTGTGCTGATTAATATCTCCATTTTGACATCATAGCAGTGTCAATTTTCACTCCACTCGCTGTACTCCACTCTGAAATCAATTAATTCCGTACATTCGCACCGAAAAACCTTGTGGACTTATTTTTACTCCGTTTGATGTGGACTCAGAGCCAAAATTCACTCTGGATTTTATAGAGGGTGTCCTCCTAATAATCAATCTCACTCTCTTCTTGATTACGTCGAATCTTTCAAGGATTAACTCGATTCAATTCATCATGATGTTCGAAATAAACTTCAGATTAAGAACTCAATTGTAAAAATGGAAAAATATCATACCTTTCCGTTATTCTCCCGAAATTCTAACGGATAAACTGGGAGAAATTAATAATCCCTAAAAACACCTGCCCGGAGAGAAATGTTCAATAAAAATTACAGAACTCACAATTCGCTCACCGATTACGGAATCGTCTCAGAAAATTAAAGTGACGGTATCGTAATTTTTCACAGGAGATTCAGATAAAAATTGCAGAACGCCCTGGAAAAATTCCCCGACAGGTAATTTTTATTGAATACTTCTCTCCGTGTGCGATTCCGCCAACATCCATTATCAAACTGTCTCCTCCGACATCGTACTAATTGCCAACCGCATGCGCACTCCCCCCCTCCCAATTTTTCCTCGAATTCGAGTCCAGATGCCCAGTCAATAGCTCCGTAGCGCTCAAAGCAACATGACACCTGAGCCCTGGAAGCAAGCCCTCCAATTCCCCCCGATCCACCAACACGAAGCCAATATAAACTATGAGCTCCAGTACACCCGTTGGCTGCTCACAGCCCTCGGGGTCTGGCCGATGATAACAAACGACGTGACGAGACGAGCGAAAATCTCCTCAATCCTCCTCGTCGGCCTCAGCCTTCTCGCAATAGCCTTCATCCTCGTCCCCATCACAGTCTTCATGTTCGTGAAGATGAAGACACTTCGAACTCGCCTCGGCTTCATCGGCCCCATAGGATTCCGCATCTCGAACATGTGCAAAATCATCATGATGATGTATCGCAGCGGTGTCATCAGGGAATGCATCAGCCAAGTCAAGTCCGACTGGTCGGCAGTGACGATCAGAGATGACGAGGATGCCATGGTCCAGAGTGTGATCCTGGGACGCAGTCTGACGATCGTGTGTGGAATTTTCATGCTCTCCGGGGGTGTTTTCTTTCACATCATCATGCCCCTCCTCAAGCCGAGAAAAGTGAATGCCTTCAACGTGACAATCAGACCGCACGCCTATCCTGGCTACGACTTCTTCGTCGACTCGCAGGCAACTCCGGCTTATGAAATCATATTCAGCGCTCATTTTTTGTGCGCTACTAGTGGCTACGTCGTTGTCACTGCATCGTGTAATCTGGCTGCTGTGTTTGTCTCTCATATTTCGGGACAGGTGCAAGTTATCAAGCTGAAATTAGCGAGGGTTCAGCAAGATGACGGCGGAAAGGCCGGGGATTTGAGTCGGCAGATTGCTTCGATCGTTAAATCCCATGTGAGAATACTAAAGTGAGCGTTTTTGATGTGGCGAAATAGCGAAGTGGCAAAACGGTTCAATATCTCGGAATCTAAGGCCGATAGCAGAATTTTTTATATGACCTTTTCTGTAGAGCGAATTGAGAACTACGAAAAAGGTATTCACGAAAATTTTGCCATCTCCCTCAGATTCGGAGATATTCGCTACGAATTATTTGTCCATTCCCAACTGATCTAGATTATCATTGATTTGTGGTTTTTATTCATGCAGATTCTCCGATAAAATAAAGATGGTGTTTCGTGAAATATGTTTGGTAGAGGTGGTGCTGTCAACCATCGTCATCTGCTGGCTAGAGTTCTATTGTATAACGGTAGACGAAAGACTGACGTCAGTTTTCGATTTTCATTATTTCACGCAATTGTGAATCATTACGAATGCTAGTTAGCTCTGTGCCGCTTTGATCAGTCATGATATTGTCAGGATAAATAATAAAATACATCGGAGTCATCGACACACCTTGTCTCTCATCATTCTAGGATAGCAACATTGTTCTCCTCGTGTACAAGAGGAATTCATTTCCATATTGCAGCAGCAAAATTATTTTATCTTTCGAATTCTAGACTGGTAACTCTAATTTGTGTTATAGGAATGGAAGAACAGCGCGACTATATCCATAGTCGGGTATTGCGTGATTCTCGGATCATTTTCATTCAATGTTTTCATCTACTGTTATATCGGACAAATATTAACGGATCAGGTATGTTGTCTTCAAACTGACGCTCATTCGACGCACAACCGACAGAAATAAATCAACGAATAATTGTTAAGTGCGAGTCTGTCGGGCAAATGGCCTATATGATCGATTGGCATCGCATTCCACCGAGAAATGTATTGTCCCTCAGCATGATCATCTCAATGGCGAGATATCCGAGGCACATAACAGCGGGCGGCATGATAAACCTCACGATTCGAAGTTTTGGAGATGTGAGTAATTCGACCGATTTTTTTGAGGTATTGAATGACTTTTTTTCAGGTCATGAAGACTTCTGTTGCCTACTTAAATGTGCTGACCGCTGTTGCCGCATGATTGGGAATGCCATTGAGAAGGATTGAATAATTTTTTCAATTGAATCACTTCAGATTTCACTCAACAATTTTCATTTGAAAAATGTCTAATGGAGCATTAGATTTATTGTGGACGGTTTTGTGGATCTTTCACGTCTTGTTCAACCATTATTACATTTGGGAGGCTTAAAAAATAAATGGAAATTAAAATCAATTATGTTTTTTCGAGTCAAGATTTTACGCATCGCTGAACTTGGTTTTATAACTAAGAAATAAATCTATTAATCGGGCTCCGTCTGGACTCACTACGAAGAGGAAGAAACGTATTTTACAAAGAAAAAAATTATGACGTTTCACACACCTTCAATTCGTTATTCATATTCCAAAAAAGTCAAAAGCCTTCTGATAACACAAATGAATTTTCGAACAATCCCAATATGGAAAGAATATTGTAAACTAAGCGGACTCGCCCCTTCCAAACTTCGGTGAACCCGCCAACCGCCCAGAAGTACCGCATGCGCGGATAAACCCCGTCACCCCAATGAAATATTCAACCCTGAGTTTTCTTGGAATCGTCGAACCTCCATTTTCAGTCAATACCCCGATCGCCCTCCAGGAACATGGCTCGGAAGCCGTCAAAGTCACCCCAAAGATCCCCAGTCCACGACAGGAAAGCCAATATCAACTACGAGCTGCAGTACACCCGTTGGCTGCTGACAGTTCTGGGCATCTGGCAGCTGATCTCCAACAATGTGACGAGACTAACGAAGGTGTCGTCACTCTTTCTGATCGTCCTCAGCATATTCGCAATCAGTTTCGTCCTGATTCCCCTGGTCATGTTCGCGCTGACGAGGGTGAAGACCCTGCGTGGAAGATTCACCTTCATCGGTCCTGTAGGCTTTCGCATATCGAATCTCCTGAAGCTGCTCACGATGGCGTATCGCGCTGATGTCATCAAGGAGTGCATCGACCAAATAAAGAGTGATTGGCTAGAAGTCATCATCGAGAACGAGCGGGAGGCGATGCTCAAGAGCGTGGAGTTGGGGAGAAGCTTGACGGTGATCTGCGCTGTCTTCATGTTCAGCAGCGGAACGTTCTTTCATGTTGGCATGCCACTCCTGAAGCCGAGGAAGGTCAACGCCCTCAACGTCACCATCAGACCTCATCTCTATCCCGGGTACGACGTCTTCGTGGATTCTCAAGCCTCTCCGGCTTATGAGATCATCTTCGCTGCCCACTGCTTCTGCGCCGCCGGAGGCTACACCATCGTCACAGCTGCCTGCAATCTGGCTGCCGTTTTCGTCTCGCACGTCTCCGGACAAGTCGAAGTCATCAGACTGAAATTGGAGACGCTTCATGGCTCTGGAGATCGCGAGGAGGCCGATGTCAGCGAGCAAATAGCCAGCATCGTGCGATGCCATGTCAAAATACTGAGGTCAGTCCTAGGAATTGTTGTTGAGTTGTTGATTGTGGCTTGCGAAGCATTGAGATTGACCGGGCTTTTTAACGCAACGCAGATTCTCCGGAAACATCAAGACTGTTCTCCGGGAAATATGTCTGGTTGAAATATTACTGTCAACTGTCGTCATCTGTTGGCTCGAATTTTACTGCTTGACGGTGAAATACAAATAGAGAAGACATCACTCATATTCATTTCACATGATCATGAATCGTGTCATCTATATCAGTTATTATTTTTTTTTCATTCATATTCATTGTGGGGTACATCACATTCCGTCCACGTCATCGAGACATAATAAAATGTGCTCATACCATTCACATTTATTCTTGAAATTTCCTGATTGATACAGATTTTCATTGTCACAGGACATCAGAATGATTATTCATAATCCAGCACTGATTGTTTGATATAATAATTTGTTTCAGGAGTGGCACAATAGCGAAACAATATCTATTGTCACATATTTCTTGTTACTCATATCGCTAACATTTAATATTTTCATCTACTGTTATATTGGCCAAATATTGAAGGATCAGGTACAGAACTGTCAACTTCACACATTTCATAATTGTTTTTTTCATCGACAGAAATAATTGAAAAATGATTATTAAGTGTGAGTCTGTGGGATTGATGACGTACTTGATTGACTGGCATAGGATTCCGAGGAAGAACATTCTGTCCCTTGCATTCACCATCTCCATGACGCATTATCCTAGAACAATAACAGCGGGAGGATTGATGCAGCTAACTATTCAAAGTTTTGGTGATGTTAGTTGATGAATTTCAATGTCGTGCGTCTTTTAATCGCTGATTTATCATTCTGATCTAGGTGATGAAGACATCACTGGCTTATCTGAATATGCTGCGGGCAGTCACAGCGTGAATTGACGACGATGAAGAGTACGAAAGAGGAATTGTGATATTTTGAGAGTGATATTTTTCTTATGTTCAACCCTAAACCATGAAATTATCAATGACGAGGGATTAAACATGTCAAGATTCATACTTCTCAGATTCTCCAGTGCTAGTCTTGAATTTTCCTTCACAATTTTCCCGCGCACGCAACCCTTCACCCCTCAAAACAGCAATTTCCAAAATATGAAAGATTTCATCACTCACATGGCAATTATTGTACGCATCGCGATTACTTGTCATTGTTATAATCTGAAGCGTGAATCACTAATGGGCAGGAGTCTGCCCCCCCATCAATTCCTAATCAATTCTATGGCACCGATAGCCTTGCTATACGCAGGCGCTGAGGGATCATTAAATATGTTTGAAGGGATATTGGAATACGACCATGAAGAGCTGCCATCGCAGCAAAATAGTGTCAGTCTTCGTAGGATCTTCGACTCTATCAGATGGAGCGAGTGATCGCCAGTAATACTACTTTTTAATAATATTGAAAGAAGTTATTCAGGAATTACTAAATTTCACTGATGTCATTTGTAAGTTAATCATATAATCAATAATTTGGATTGCCGATCAGTTATTACGTACTTCCAACTTTCTTGAGGGGTTTTCGATGAATATCTCGCAATCTCGGAGATATTCCTCGAAAACCGCTTCATTACCGAATTCTCTAATGGAAATTTCTTTGATGTTATTGGCTGACTATGTGTTGAAATAACGTTATTTACATTTTGTGTTTTTGGTAATGTCCGGATGAGGCTGTATGGCAATAATAATATGCATCATCACGTGAAAACCATCACAAATGAGCACTATCATTTCGACATTCGTCGCAGCTTCCGAATGACCGAGTGGCTGCTGACGCCCCTCGGCTTGTGGCTGTTGATATCCAAGAATCCAACGCGAAACAACATCTACACATCTATCGCCCTGATAGGTGTCTGCATGACGACCCTTCTGTGGGTCATTATGCCCTGCACGAGGCACCTAGCTTTCTTGGAGAAAGATCGCAACATCCGAGTGACCAAGATTGGTCCAGTGAGCTACTGCTACAAGAGTATCATGCTGTACGGCGCAATAATACTGAGCACCAAACGCATCAAAAGTTGCATTGAGCACATCAAGTCAGACTGGCGTGAACTCGAAAGCGAGGGTGATCGTCAGATTATGATAAATAATCTGGACTTCAGCCGAAAAATCACCATCATCTGCGGGATATTCATGTACAGCGGGGGCTTGTCCTACCATTCTGTCATGCAACTGTGGTCGGGCAAGAGAATCAATGGTCTGAATGAGACCCTCAGACCCCACGTCTACCCCGGCTACGATGATTTCGTGGATTCACAGGCAACTCCAGCTTATGAACTCATCTTCACTGGGCATTTCATCACGGCTCTTGTTGCTTGCAGCATTACAACGGCCTCTTGTAATCTTACAGCTACCTTCGTCGGTCACGCTCTCGGCCAGATTCAGATCGTCATGACGAGGATCAAAAAGATTGTCGACGAAAATGATGAACGTCATTCCGACCCTCAACAGCGGATTGCTTCCGTCATCCGAGGTCATGTTAGTGCGTTAAGGTGTTTGATATCCGCTTGGCTTTATCTTTTCAGGAATGTGAATGTGCTGTGGTTTCAGGCTGACAGCGGAGATTGAGAAGGTTCTGAGGAATGTGTGCTTGGTCGAAGTCTTTGGATCGACTTTCGTCATGTGTTCGGTCGAATATTACTTCATAAAGGTCAGGATATTTGATGTAAAGTACAGATATGTTCATTATATTTTGTGATACCGTAGGAATTGAGTAACAGCGATAGCATAGTACTCCTGACGTACGTCGCGCTATTCTTCTCCCTCTCCTTCAACATATTTCTGTTCTGCCAGATCGGCGAGATATTAATGGAAAAGGTGAAGTCATTAAAATGTCTGAGAAAGAACCGGCAAAATCATTTGAACGGTTTCAGTGCTACGGAATTGGAAAGCTGACGTATGGGATACCCTGGTACAAATTGCCCGGCAAAGCTAGCCTCCCCCTGACCCTCATCATTGCGATATCCCACTGTCCGCGGAAATTATCTGCCGGCGGACTCTTGGAGCTCTCTATGAACAGTTTCGCAACGGTGAGCAATCACTCCTCGAATAGCACGAATGACCCGTACGTCATTTAAGATTGAGTATTACAGGTCATGAGGACATCTCTGGCTTATCTCAATCTTCTGTACACCATTGACTCTTGAGCGGAATTTATCCACGACATTTGTGGACAATATATAAATAACTGATATCACTCACCTGAAGTAGAATGCCACCTCCTCTATTTGATAGGTCTCCATCAACAGCGGACTTCTGAAACCAAAAACCTTCCTTTACTCTTTCAGCACTAAAATAATATCAAACCAGAAAACGGCTGTATTCTTTGAGCTTTCGTCTACCCCGAGTTAATCACCCCCAGTCCCCTCAACCGGCTGCGCATGCGTCCAAAAGTATGAAACTCAAAACCCCTTTCTAAAGTTCTCGACATCCCCTTCCCCCAGTAGACACTCTAATCGTCTGGCGTCACCATGTCCCGTAAATTCTCAGAGCTCTCCTTCCCGGGCAAGTATCAAACTTACAGTCATTGTGAGCTCCAGTACACTCAATGGCTGCTGACAGCCCTCGGTGTGTGGCCTATGGTGTCAAAAAACGTCACCCCAAAGGCAAAGGTCTCGTCGTTCCTCTCAGTCTGTCTAATTCTATTCGCAATAGCCTTCACTGTAGTTCCCTGCATCATGTTCGTGACCCTCCGGATGACGAGCATGAGGAGTCGACTGGTGTTCTTTGGTCCTCTAGGATTCCGCATAACTAATCTACTCAAGTATCTCTTCATGATATACCGTGCTAATATTTTGAAAGTTTGTGTGAGCCGCATCGAGGCGGATTGGTCAGCTGCTACGGAAAAAGATCAAGTGGTCATGGCGAGGAGCGCCGAATTGGGCAGAAAACTGACCCGATTGTGCGCTTTCTTCATGTACGGCAGTGGAATATTCTTTCATGCAATGACCTTTCTCCGGCCGAGACGAGTAGACGCCTTCAACGTCACAATCAGACCGCATATCCTACCGGGGTATGATTTATTTGTCAATCCTCAAGTCACGCCAACTTACGAGATTATCTTTGGGATAAATTGTCTGTGTGGGGCAGCTATTTATACCATTGTCATAGCAACATGCAATCTAGCCGCTGTTTTCGTCGGTCATGTCTCTGGACAGGTGCAAGTTATCAGGCTCAAGCTTCTCAATCTTGAAGAGTATGAGCAGAACTTTGAGAAGAACGAGGATATCCGTAAAGATATTGCCTACATAGTGAGATGTCATGTGAAGATGTTGAGGTATGTAGGATTTTATGAACTGTTTTAGTCATTCGGATATTATCTGTTTTTTATTTGACGTGAAGCAGATTTGTGGAGAATGTCAGAGATGTACTGCGGGAAATTTGTCTTGTTGAGGTGGTGCATTCCACTACTGTCATATGCTGGCTCGAATTTTTCGTTTTGACGGTAAATTATGAGTATTATGAATTGTCCAACGCAAATAAAAAAATTTGATTTGGAGGCATTTCAACAATTTTTAGGAATTCATCATCAAGTTTTTTGTGATATCTATCACTGAAATTTGGCGATAGGTCCCGAAAAATTAGAGATGGCTTCCTGAAAATCGGTGCCATGTACCTGAAGAAGAAGACTTTTTTCTCCGCGAATGAAATTATTGAAAAATCAAATATTTACCATATTACAGGGCTGGAAAAATAGTGAAGTAATATTCATAGTCACATACTTCTTATTGCTCGTCTCCTTAACATTCAACATTTTCATGTTTTGTTACATCGGAGAGATACTGAAAAATCAGGTATGCCGCATGTGAGTAAAGACAGCCAAGCTAACTGAAATGATAATTCAATATGAATTATCAAGTGCGCATCTATGGGTCACATGACTTACATGATAAACTGGCATAACATGCCTAAAGAGAATATTTCCTCGCTGAGTCTGATAATCGCAATGGCGAGGTATCCTTGTACCATAACAGCCGGAGGGATGATGGAGCTGACCATCAGAAGCTTCGGTCATGTGAGTGCATGGATCACTTCAACGAATTTCCAGGATCTTCATGGATCATTTCTGTACAGGTGATGAAAACATCGCTGGGATATTTTCAGATGCTACGAACGGTCGCCGCGTGAGTCGTCATCGCATCAACAGGATTCAATCGCGAAGTTTTTGTACCCAACAGATTTTACTTTATCGAATGTTCAATGAATGTTTGAGGAATAAAATGCCGAAGTGAAATTGCAGGCTGCATGTACCGCCCACATAATGAAAATTGAAAATTTCTGTTGAAATTACTTGTTGTTGTCAAATATTTGCGTAATAAAAAAAAATCGACTTCCCAGCCAATCCTGAGAAATACGGGTAGGCGGTATTACCAGCTACCCTAGATAGTCTGAGGCACCGCGCTCGGGCGTTGGAGAACTCCCCCGACATTAGACGCATGCTCCAAACAAATCCAGCCACTGCAATTAAATATTAACCGCAGTCTTATTGTCCCCGAGTGTCCGCATCACCACCCCCATTATCCGTGATCCGCTGTCGCCGCGTGAACATGCCTCCCGCGAGTTCTAAAAAAATCCCCAAGACCCCTTCGAGTCGCAAATACAGCGCCCACATTGAATACGAACTGCAGTACACCCGGTGGATCCTCAAATCCCTCGGAATTTGGTCGATGGTGTCCGATAACACGACTAATTCAGACAGAATCGCGTCTTTTTTCCTTATTATTTTCAATCTATTCGCTATCGCGTTCATCTTAATTCCGTGCTCCATGCACATGTTGTTGAGAGAAAAAAATCCCAGGAGGCGACTCCTTCTGATCGGCCCCATAGGCTTTCGCATCTCCAACATTTTAAAGTACTTCTCCATCATGTTTCGAGTTGACGTCATCAAACAGTGTCTCAATCACGTGAAGAATGATTGGTCTGACGTTGCGTCGGAAGACGAGCGGAAACTCGTCCTGAAGAGTGTCGAGGTGGGACGGAATTTGACGCGTCTCTGTGCCATTTTTATGTTCAGTGCTGGGTTATTCTATCACACGGTGATGCCACTGCTGAAGAAGAAGAGAGTCAATGCGTTCAATGTGACAATCAGACCGCACGTCTACCCCGGCTACGACTTTTTCGTCGACTCTCAAGCTTCTCCAACTTATGAAATAATCTTCGGCACACATTGTGTTTTCGCCGTCGCTGGCTATTTCATGACTGTCGCCGCTTGCAATCTGGCTGCCACATTCGTCAGTCACATTTGTGGACAAGTTCAAATTATGAACTTGAAGCTTCAGGGTCTCACTGGGAATGAGAAATCAAGCGTTGCGGAGGAAATTGCCTCTGTCATCAAGTGTCACGTGAAAGTATTGAGGTGAGGGATAGCAGGGATTTGTTGTGAATAATGGACTCTTAACTCTTTCAGTTATCAGATTGTCCAGAATGATTGAGAAAATCCTGCGAGAAATTTGCCTGGTGGAAGTGGTGGCGTCGAGTCTCATCATATGCCTGCTGGAATATTACTGCATGACGGTGAATATCGCGCTATTTTATTGCTCCACGCATCCTTATCACTCATCTCACTCTCCGAAATATCAAATTCAAACGATTCGCTCTTCTTTTTGTCCACATGCCCTTGCTCATTTCATAATTTTCGTCAGAGAAAAATACGACACTTCCAGGAGGCATTGATTGCGACTGAGAAGGCCATCAGGTCAGTACATTGAGTCGATTCCACGATTTTTATTCTCCGACAAAATGCCCCCCAAAATTCCCCCGCCCCCCAAATTTTTTTTCCCGTCCATTTCCTTCCAATTTCCGCCATTGAATTAATTTATGAAGATGAGAGAAATTATTCAGTATTTAATTTCAATAGCAATCGTCAATGCGTGGCTATAACATTTTCAATGAGCGAAATAAAAATTAATTGCAAATTAATTCAGTAGCAAAGGGCTAAAGCGGTTTAAGTCGATTCAGCTCCCAGTTGAGTTTTTGAGGGATATCTCCGAATCTAATTGAGACAGCGAAATTTTCGTAATTACATTTGTTGTAGCTCTCAATCCGCTTTACAAAAAAGGTTCTAACAAAAATTTTGCTATCTCCCGTAGATTCCGAGATATTCATTAAAAAATGGTCAATAGCCAAAATTGATTTGTACCGTTTTACCACTTCGCTACTGAATTGCAAGAATGGACAGAAATTTTAAGAGATAAATGTCATGCGGAAGATTTGGGGGAAAAAATGCCGAGGAAATTTTGTTGGGAAAAAAAGACCATCTATCAAGTCCTATCGAAACCCACAATTTATAATCGATCGTCCTCGATGTTCCACACAGATCACTTTCCAGTGTCGAATACCTAGTAAGGGGATCATTTTCCATTCATTCTGATCACAACCTACTGACGCAAGACGCGATGACTTGAGACTAACGAATAGCTTCAATGTAAACAACAATATGCTTGCACATTCCAGGAGTGGAAGAACAGCGAAACGGCATCATTAATTACGTATTTCATGCTACTGACATCACTGACGTTCAACGTCTTCATTTTCTGTTACATCGGAGAGATACTGAAAGATCAGGTACGGATTCCACTGAATCATTCTCTCCGGAAAAACGAATAATCTGAAATTTCAAGTGTGAAGTTGTGGCTGAGCTCACGTACATGGCCGAATGGTATCAGATATCCAGTAAAAATGCCCTCCAACTTGCGCTCATTATCGCAATGGCCAGATCCCCGCGGAAAATCACTGCTGGAGGAATGATGGAACTGACGATTCAGAGTTTCGGAGCCGTAAGTTGAGCTTCGCATTGTGACAAGAATAGGAAAAAAGTAATTAATCTGTCGTGATGACATTTCAGGTCATCAAAACGTCGGTAGCATACCTGAATATGCTGCGAGCCGTCGCTGATTAGTAGATTGTAATTAGCTTCTGAATATTTAAGTCAGTTGGCACTAATTTATGCCATCACTTTCATTGAAATAATCTTTTCATGTACATCCTCACAACGTAATGATAAAATTCTACGAAATTATACCTGAATTTTCAATGCAAATACGTTTAATTGATAAAACTGTTAATGACATTCATCAGAGTACGACTGGGTTTAAAAAAACTGCTCTCACCTGAACTGTCTGTATTACAATCATGAATGGTGAGGCTATAGTCGCTTCGTCGAAAAAAATCTCAATCGCGTTTAAATATTCAGAGTATCGAGTTTTCTCGGGCGCTCAAAGTTGCTTTTTCGAGGCAGTCTAATTCTACAGCTCGGTGTGACAATGTTACCCAAAGGTCCTGACCACGAACTCGGATCTTTACCCCGATGGAAGTACAAAACCAATGGTGAACACGAGTTTCAATATACACGTTTGCTACTAACAGTCCTCGGAATTTGGCCCAGAGTATCCACCAATGCTACACGAACTGAAAAAACATGCGCATTACTTATTCTCGGTGTATTCATTCTCGCATTAATTGTCAGTGTGATTCCATGCGTTTTGTTTACGTCAATAAAAATAAAAACCATGAACGAGCGATTGGTGTTTCTCGGTCCCTTAGGATTTCACTTCACGAATCCCTTGAAGTTGATTTTCATCATACATCATACCGATGTCATAAGGAAATGCCTGATTCATATGAGAGCCGATTGGAGGAAAGCTGTTACAAAAGAGGAGCAAACGGTCATGTTGAAAAGTGCAAATTCAAGAAGAAGTTTGACACATTTGTGTGCACTATTCATGTACAACGGTGGAATATGTTTCCAAGCGATGACAATGTTCAAACCGAAAGAGACTGATGAGTTTAATGTGACAATTAGACAGCACGTGCTGCCCCGATATGATTATTTCGTCGATTCCCAAATTAGTCCAGTATTTGAGATTGTTTATGCTACTCATGTCTTGTTTCTAGTTTTTCTCTATACTATTGAAATAGCAACATGTAATTTAGCTGCTGTTTTCGTTGGTCACATTTGTGGACAAGTTCAAGTGATGAAGGTTAAGTTGAAAATACTCGGACAATCTGAGAATCAGGGAAATTCCAAAGGTATTGATGATCTAATAGCGTCCGTAATACATTGTCATGTTAGAGTCCTAATGCAAGTAGACTTTCATATAACATTAGACTTATCATGATATGTTTTCATCAATGACGTTCAAATGGTACAGATTGGCCGGAAACACTCGAAAAGTTTTGCGTGAAATTTGTTTAGTGGAGGTCCTGTATTCCACTGCAGTCATGTGCTGGCTTGAATTCTTTTGTTTGAAGGTACATCACAATTATTAACTACTCCTTCTCATACGTATGTGCTTTCATTCTACGTCACGGGAAATGATTTTGAAAATCACTCAAACAATTTGTTTTAAACCAAGAATTTCTCATTTGCAGGAATGGAGTGATAGTGAGGGCCTGTCTTTAGTGACGTATTTCTCGCTGTTCGTATCTCTGACATTCAATATTTTCATTCTCTGCTACATTGGAGAGATTTTAAAGAATCAGGTGCGATGCATTCTCATTCACAATACACGAAAGCTGGATTTAGCCCTTGGCTGAGCTTTCGAGGAATGACTCCGAATCGAAGGGAGATGACGAAATTTTCGTAATGACATAGTTTTGCTGTCTCCCTTGGATTTCGAGATATTCATTGGAACCTGGCCAATAGCCAAAATCAACATGAGCTGATTTATAACATATTTACGCGCTGCAATAATTTTTTCTCCCAAAATATCCAGTGCGAATCTGTAGCTGAAGTGACTTATAAGTCCGACTGGTGTCAAATTCCTCCAAAAAAACTATCGTCTTTCATTTTAATCATTGCTATGGCGAGATATCCCCAGAGCATAACAGCAGGAGGAATGATAGAGCTGACACTTCGAAGTTTTGGTGACGTTAGTATGCCATTCACTCCAATAAAATAGCTCCATTATAATTTTTGCCCTTCCTCAGGTGTTGAAAACATCATTGGCATATTTGCAAATGTTGCGAACAGTCACCACATCCTTCTGAAGAAGACAGTAATACAGGAATCATCTTTCTCTCAGGACAACGTGACAAACGGCACGTTGAACCAGTGCGAATAGTCCACGTTTTCATAATATCGTCGCGGATAATTTTTTTTGTATGCATTATTTTTGCAGGCCATCAAAACAGCAGTATATACTGAGGATCTAGCAGGGCGGATTGACAAAGTTTAAAATTTTTTAATTCACATTAGTGGAAATGTCGTCTCTCCATGTACATGACAGTAGATGTAGCGAAACAAGCGTTGACGAAAATTTTTAAAAATCATAATCGAGATCATTTAAACCTTACGCAATTGTCAATTTTTTTTTCACTGATGAAAAGATGAGGGTAGTTTTGTCATTCAACCTTTAAAGAGATTCTCAGAACGGACAGGGATATTTTTTAGTGAATTACTAGTCTTTTGCGAAATTCAACTAGTCGATGTTAACTAAACTTGCCTTGGATCCACGAACAGCCGGGATTTTAGTTAAATCGCCCGTGTAAAATTCTTCCACCACCAGAAATCATGAGGAGAGAGCGACAATAAAACACCAAGAAGATTATCGATATCGTTTAAATGCTCCGCTCGGCCTAAAAGTTCTTTCCCAAATGAACAAATCGATATGAACCTCCCAGCTTATAGCCGAATACCTGGTATCTCCGTCCACCCAACAATTGGAAGAACCACTCCGTCGATATTAAAAAATTGGCGATGATTTTTTTTCATCACACGTACGCAAGCGCACAAGCCCCCGACAGTCTGCCTCGATTCCACCCGTCAGACATTCTCAATACCCCCGATTTCCCATCATCTCTCAAACATTCTCCATGATAAATTAGGGAGAATGTCAGTTGACAAAGCGACAAGCTCATCGGAAGAAGTAAAAACCATTCAGTTGACTCGCTGGCTCCTGATATCACTCGGCATTTGGCCATTCGTGACTGACAACTCCACGATTATCGAGACATTTCTAGGAATAGGGGTTCAAATACTCTCCTACGGTCTTCTAGTATTCACAATTGTCCCCACGACGTACCACATATTCATGCGGGAGCAGAATTTGGACGCAAAGATAACATTAATCGGTCCCATCTGCTTCTTCACAACGAATTTACTCAAGTACTGCGCCATTGTCTATCACCGTGAGGACATAAAGCAATGCATAAAGTGCGTGAAAACCGACTGGCAACGGATAACGAATCAGATGGACCGCGACATCATGATGAGGAATGTGTCGACAGGAAGAAACTTGACTATTTTCTTCGCCATTTTTATGTACAGCGGTGGAATGTTCTATCACACGTTCATGCCCTTCCTCGTCACTAGTCAAGTTACTAATGTGAGAAATACTTCCACTCGGCCGTTGGTCTACGCCGGCTACGACTTAGCTTTCGATCCTTATGTCTCGCCTGTTTATGAAATAGTGTTTTTATCCCACTGTCTGACTGCCATGGTTGTTCACACTATTGTCACTGTTTCGTGTAATCTCGCTGCGAGTTTTGTAGCGCATGCTTGCGGACAGATTCAGATCATAATTTCCAGGCTCCATTCCCTCATTGAGGATGACTTGACTCAGGACAGTGTTTGTGTTCACAGAAAAATGGCGAGCATCATTCAATGTCACGCCAAGGTCCTCAGGTAAATATTCTACGTGTGCTCTTGTGCTTTTCTCGCGCCGGAAAAAAACGGCGTCTTAAATTGGGGGATTTGTGAGGCATTTACGAGGTGCACTGTTAGAAAAAAATGAAAGTTCATGGACAGCTGACTACTCATTTTCTGGATAGTGATTGATATCGGAAATTTTGAAAATTCAGGCCACTTTTCTGAATTTTTAATCTTGAATTGAGTTGTATGTTTAAATAAAAAATAGTGAAGGTTGATTCTGTATTTTCTAACAATTCTGATGCTAATGAAACCCCCGGAGGCGCGACAATTGTCAAAATGAAAGAATTTTTTTCACTCGGAGCCAAAGGGTCAAATTGTCGGTTTTTCCGGGGGGCAAGTCAACTTTCGCCAAAATCGAATTTTTTAGCCGAGTGAACGTTGATTCCACCTATTTAAGCGACGGGCTATTCAGAACTCTCAAAAGTATGTGGAAGAAGTGCAAACTGAAAAAGTTTTTTTTTTCAGATTTTCGAAGGGTCAGATTTTCGAAGGGTCAGATTTTCCGTTTTCCCAGGGCGAAAGTCGACTTTCGCCAAAATCGAGTGCTGAAATGGGACATAATCAGAAGTAGAAAGGTCTCGGAAGCACTTGGGAAGAGGCTTCCCAAGACCTATCCAGTTCTGAACGGCAAGACCTAAGTAGAACTTGTCAGGTCCAATTATTCGACTCGGGATGTGACTGAAATTTCAAGAACTTTCCAACAGTGTAAACTGTTTTTTTCATCACATAATTTAAGACACTATTTTTCCGTGTGCGAGCTGCGTTGTATGCCCGTTTAACGTAATGCATTCAATTTGTCAGATTCACTGTTGGTGTTGAAGTTATTCTCCGGGAAATATGTCTGATCGAGGTCGTCGCGTCTACCTTCGTAATTTGTCTCCTCGAGTACTATATTCTGGCGGTAAAAATTGAAAATTCCCGTGAAGTACTTCATTATATAATGAATGCAGATAATTTTTGCGTCGCGGAAATTAGTCTGTCCTCACGAATAGTTGAAAACGTACGAAAAAAACCTTTTGTTCATTGATACATTTATTTTCTATGAAGTGCTTCACAGGCTGTGTGCCATATAATTGACGTAAGTTGAAAAATTCATTATTCCAGACGTGGAATGGAAGTGAAGTAATCGGTATCCTCACTTATCTCGTCCTCCTAGTAGCCCTAAGTGTCAACGTTTTCATATTTTGTTTTATCGGTGAAAAGTTGACTCAGCAGGTGTGCCGATTTACTCATGATAATTTCGTTGACCTAGGGAGAGTAATTGTTTTGCTTGCAGTGTCACGAGGCGAGTAAAGCTATTTACATGATAAAATGGTATCGTTTACCGCCAGATGTGGCTATAGCACTGGTGCTATTTCTAGCTAGTGCACAAGTGCCGAGGAGAATTACCGCTGGAGGGTACATGGATTTATCCCTCAACAGTTTTGTCAAGGTAACTTCCCCAAATTAATAAAATTTCTCTAACTTTTAATCCGAAAATGCGATTAGCACTTTCCACAGCACTCCATCTCCTGTTCCAGGTGCTCAAAACGTCAGTTGTCTATCTAAATTTACTCAGAACTGTGGAGAATTGACTGACGTTCTTCATCGAACCCTTCATTCCTAGTCACATGGAGTTGTCGCATTTGTAAGGACGAATTATTTAGACTGTAGTTGACCTCAGCAGGAAGAGCCACGACGCCAAGTCGCAGTGAAAATAGACAACATGACTGATTAGAGTTGAATATCTCCGTAGCGAAGTGGTAAAACGGTTCAAGTCGACTTATCTCTCAGTTGAGTTTTCGAAGAATATCTCCGAATCTAAAGGAGTAAATGGAATTTTCGTAATAACCTTTTTTTCTGAGCAAATTGAGTGCTATAAAAAAGGTATTAATAAAAATTGAGCTATCTCCCTTAGATTTCGAGATATTCACTAAAAACTGGCCAATAGTCAAAATCGACTTGACCCGTTTTACCACTTCGCTGCTGAATTGTACTGAACATAACGTCCATGACTGAATAAAGGATTATTGACAATTGATATTCACACTCCAGCATCACCACAAATTTTATTGGGCGTGAAGTACCTCAGGCGAGACAAGAATACTGCAGTCAATTCAGACTGCAGTGAGTCCATCCTCTCCACTCGACAGCTTTCGTGAGACTAACGCCAATCGATAATCAATCCAGACAAGCTCAATCCATCGCCGCTATGGACAGCCCAATCCCCATGAACCACGCAAATATCTCAATGCAAACCTCGAAAACCCTTCGAATTATCCTCTGAGTTAATCTCAAACTCATTAAATTTTTCTGCTGCATTATTCCTCAACCAAAGCAGGATTATTCTCTCAAAATCTTCATGAGCATGAATACTTCATAGAATTTAGAATTTATCACGCCTGCGCGAATGTGAGAGCTACTCAGAAGCGCCGAAAGCTCCCTCAGTTCATCCCCGCAGTCGCCCAATTCAATATCAAGCTCTCACCTGCAATTCCAAAACCGCGGGATGTCTGTTCGTGCCGAGAAGACCGTCGAGGAAATAAAGAGCATCCAGTTCACAAAGTGGCTTCTAACTCCTCTGGGAGTCTGGCCATTCGTGAAGAGACATTCGACACTAACCGAGATTCGTCTGGGAATCCTGCTGCAGCTGTTCTGCCACAGTTTGCTCGCGTTCGTCGTCGTCCCCTCAGTGTTTCATATATTCGCACGTGAGAACGATCTCAACGTGCGGATAGCCCTATTCGGACCAGTTGGATTCGTGGTAATGAATCTCCTGAAGTACTGCGCAATAATTTACCACCGCGGTGGCATCGGGAGGTGCATCAGGTACATAGAGAGCGATTGGCGAGGGACACAGGATCAAGATCATCGTGACATAATGATGAAGAACGCGTCGACAGGACGAAATTTGACCATTTTATGCGCAACATTCATGTACTCCGGGGGTATGTTGTATCACACGCTAATGCCATTCTTGCTGACAACTCCAATAGCTGCGGACAAGAATTCGTCGAATCGACCAATTGTCTATCCGGGTTATGACGCTGTATTTGATCCCTATGTGTCACCGACGTATGAAATTATATTTCTCTCTCATTGTCTCGCTGCAATGATCATTTATACGATCACTACCGTCTCTTGTAATTTGGCCGCTAGCTTTGTCAGCCATGCTTGTGGGCAGATTCAGATTCTCGTTGCGAGACTTGATCATCTGGTCGACGATGGACGAGGTAGGAGTGAGAAATACTTGAAGAGGAAGATTGGGGACATCATTCGTTATCATGCTGGAGTGCTCAGGTTTCTGGCGGCTTTGTGGAGGATGAGGATGATGGGGAAATGAGAAATTATTCGCGAAACGGACCACTGCAAACTAGTCGACTTTGACTATTGGTCAGTTTTCAATGAATATCTCCGAATGTAAGGGAGATATCGAAATTTTTGTAAGAACCTTTTTTGTACAGCGAATCGGGGGCTACGAAAAAGGTCTTGACAACAATTTTGCTATGCCCCTTAGATTTCGAGATATTCATTGAAAACTGGGCAATATTTGTGGAGCTTGACAGCACTTCTTCTTCAACGTTTTACATCTCGATTTCTCATTGACTCAATCGTCTGAATTCTTGATGATCATCGAGTATTCTTCTCAATTGACTAGATTCACCGTAGATATCGAGGAAATTCTCCGCGAGATCTGCCTCGTCGAAGTGGTGGCGTCTACCCTAATCATCTGCTTGCTCGAATACTACTGTATGACGGTAGAGATTTGTTGGAGAAAGTGACATGAATCGGTGGATGATGCCCGAGTTATTAATCGTAATTCCAGACGTGGAGTGAGAGTGAAACTATCGGGATCTGTACATACTTTATTCTCCTGATATCACTGAGTTTCAATATTTTCATATTTTGTTACATCGGAGAGCTCCTGAAGGAACAAGTATTTTTTGACTGTTCATTTATTCAGAGCTGAATTCATTCCGAATTTGTGGAAACTGACGATATTTATAGTTCGGTGACGTTGGGACTTCGACCTACTTGACGGAATGGTACCGACTTCCGCCAAATTGTGGGCTCATGTTGATTCTGATCATTGCAACGGCCCAAGCACCTCGGAAAATCACAGCTGGAGGACTGATCGACCTGTCACTCAACAGTTTTGTCGGCGTATTATGCATTTGTCGGCTTCTATAATTTTTCCATCTGCTCATTTCTCATGTTTCAGGTGATTAAAACATCGTTGATGTATTTGAATCTCTTGAGAACCGTGGAAACTTGATCAATTTGCACTGGAGAGCAGCTTTCAATCGTCGATGAAGCGATGGATGAAATATATTTTTACATGTGGTGAACCATGCACGTTATTATATTCATTCACACGTCCGTTAACGTTTTCTGAACATAAATCTCATATCCTAGCTTAGTAATAAAGCATACCATGAAAAAATGGGGGTCGTTTTGTGAAAATGAGCGTCGCTTTCAGTGACGGAATTTCCCGAAATTTCAGTGGTAACCAAATCCGCTAAAAATTTCGTACAATAATTTTCAACAATGCAAGCTACACCCGAAATTCAAATGAACGTCGAGTAGATCCCAGCTGCTTCCCTCCACTGCCTCCTCCAATACTCAATCCAAGAATTGAAATCACTCTCGCAATACAGCGCAAGCGCCTGTCTATCACGGTTCCCTCATCCCTCCGACTATTGGCAATCGCCAGTACCTCGAGCCCCGCTTCATCAGCAATACCGATGATGGCAGGCCTAGCAATAAAACCCAAAGAGTCGAAAGCGATTGAGCTCACCCGCTGGCTCCTGACTCCCCTCGGTGTCTGGTCGCTGATCAAGAAAACCCCATCAACTAGGGACACACTCTCCGCAATCACTCTACAATTTTTCTGTTACAGCGTCATCCTATTCGCCCTGATTCCATCAATATTCCACATAGCGTTTCGCGAGAAGAATTTAAACGCTAAAATCGCGTTGTGCGGTCCCGTTGGCTTCTTCATGATGAACATGCTGAAGTACTCCGCCATTATTCGTCACCGAAAGAGCATTAAAAAGTGCATTGAGAGTGTGGAAACCGATTGGGAGAGGATTGACAACGATCAGGAGTGGAATATCATGACGAAAAATCTGCTGATAGGAAGAAAATTGACGATTGTCTGCGCTTCATTCATCTACACAGGGGGAATGTCGTATCACACTGTGATGCCGTTTCTCATGGGAAGTCCCGCATCGAGTGAACATTTTGCGGACGAACGGCCCCTGGTTTTTCCGGGTTACGACGTGCTCTTCGATCCCTTTATCTCGCCTGTTTACGAGATTGTTTATTTTTCGCATTGTCTAGCTGCTCTGATAATTTACACTATCACCACGGTGTCTTGTAATATTGCCGCTAGTTTCGTGACCCACGCTAGTGGGCAAATTGAAATAATTGTGGGGAAGCTCAATGGGCTCGTTGGAGATGGGTACGAGCAGGATGATAAATGTCTGAGGGAGAAGATGGGAGATATCGTTCGGGATCATGGGAGAGTGATCAGGTGAATAAATCCGCAATTTATCGACTAATCGCGATCTGCACTGCCATTTTTTCCAGATTTACTGTAGATATTGAAAGGGTTCTGCGTGATGTGTGCCTCGTGGAGGTTTTTGCGTCGACAATAATCATTTGTCTGCTGGAATACTACTGCCTGACGGTAGAAAAATGTACATAATCAGGAACTGAATGAAAATAACCGGCACTTTCGAATTAATATTGATTCCAGACGTGGAATGAGAGCGAAACCATCGGAATAATCACTTATTTCTTGCTCCTGGTGTCCCTGAGCTTCAATATATTCATATTTTGTTACATCGGAGAGGTCTTGAAGGAACAGGTAGGCACCGCAACAACGAGTGTTTCAATTTCGCGACTTTTGTGGAATTTTTTCAGACACGTTTGAATTTTTAATTCACGTTTCAAATTCAGAGAAATTTTCGTTTTGTTCGGACGTTTTTGAGGGTCTGAAAAATGTCTACGAATGTGTGGGAAATTCAAACATTCGGTTTTGATAGTGTGCTTGTGGTTCGCAGTGCTACGAGGCAGGATATTCCGCTTATTTGATTGACTGGCATCGCCTGCCGCCGCCTGCCGCTAGTGGTTTGATACTGATCATCGCGAATGCACAGGTCCCGAGGAAACTCACGGCCGGCGGAATGCTCGAACTGTCTCTGAGCAGTTTTCTCACCGTACTGTTCCATCCGTTACACGGAGAGAAATATTCAATAAAAATTACGTATCTTTTCCGTAATTCCGGAGCGGAATGTGATTGCAGGAAATTGTACGGAACTGTCACGGAGTTTTTCCGGAGTGTTCCGTAATTTTTATCTGAATTTACTGTGGAAAATTACGGGACCGTCACACGGAGGGAAATTTTCACGTTTTCCCCAATAAAATTTCTAGTGCCGGCACTGGATTTTTTTCCTGGCCGTCACTTTGCGCCTCTTTTCCCGTGCTAGCACTAAAATTTATAAAAAATTTCTCTCCGTGCACTTAAATTTTCCGAGTCGATTCCGTAATCGGTGAGTGAATTGACTTCCGTTATTTTTACTGAACATTTCTCTCCGTGGACTAATGACTCTTAATTAATTTTACTTTTGATACTTTAATTTGATGATGGACATTTTGTAGGTCATGAAGACGTCATTAGTGTACTTGAATTTATTACGAACCGCGGCGACTTCGTGAGATGTAACGGAAGAGGAGTGATCGATTTTCACATCTCGTAAAATACCAGGGGATGGGGGCAAAATGGACACGAGAATTTTTTTTCAAACGCTAAAAACTTGATCGATCTTTCGCTTATAATGGGCCCAGCCTGGCCTCAATTGATCACTTTATTCCTGTTTTCAAATTGCCTGGAGGCCATGGATACCGTTTAAAAAATCTTGGTACTGATTAATTTCCTTTTTAAAAAATCCATTTGTTTTCTGTCACCAATCTATTCCGCTATAATTCAACTCTGTTCATAGGTATTACTATAGCCATAACTATAGTTATAAATAGTTGTACGTAACTATAACCATTTAAAATGATAGCTATAAAAAATTATAGTTATCGAATATTTGTACTGTAACTATTAAATTTATCCCGTTCTCCTTACATTTTTTCTCCAAACACTGTTAGAAATTTCTTGAAATTTCAGTCAGAGCATCATCTGAATTTCAATGTCGTGAGTTTGAATTCTACTCGCGATACTTTGGAGACTCTACCCACATCTGTAATGCCACAATTACCGCAAAAGGCTCTACTCCCTTTAAATATTATAACCGCCGAGTTTTCCTCGAGGCAGGAAAGCGGATTTTCTGACTAGTCTATAAAACCCCGACTCGGTGCGACCATGAGTCTAAAACTCCCGAGAAAGTCCACAAATCTCCATACCCCGGTGAATGTAAAGACCACGAGGACCACGAGCTCCAGTACACTCGGTGGCTCTTGTCAGCGGGAGCAGCCCCGCTTTTTTTTGTCGCTAACGACGACGCACTCATGACTTCAATTATTGCTTTTTTAAAAATAAAAATAACTCACCTTCTCGTTCCTCCTCAAAGCAGCATCCGGACTGTTCTCTGGACCCAGAACAAAGGCACATCTGTAAAAAAAAAACAGAGAAAAAAATAGAGAAAAATTACGGAATGAGTATTTAGTTCTTTTTTAACCTAGAGTGAACAGGCCAATTGCTGAACGGTTTAGGCAAATTCGAGTTTCGTGGTAGAGTGTAAAATAAAAGAATGACTAAATGGGGATATGATGGCTTTCATACCTTCAAGAATGTTTTAATTAGCAGAAAAACATTAGTTGAAGTAAAAATAACATGAAATATAAATCTATGTAATTTATATTTTATATAACTTTTATATATAAATCAGGTCAATTTCGTAGATAAAATATCTAATTTTCCGTATGGAAAAACAAAGAATAATTAAATTAAGGAATAGTTGAGTGCAGCCGAAGCCCCTAATTTCGAAAAAGAAAGACAGCAGTACCGATGGATTTTAAAAAATTAAAAAAAAGAAAGGGAAAGAAAAAAACGAAAAGGTACACGATGATGGAATAAAATAAAGCATGATGGCTTCCGCTTCACTATACTGCATCACAAATTTTTCAAAATCACCGTACCTTTCGCCAATTGTTTTTTTAGTTGTGGATGAATAGCAGGTGTCTAGCACCGCGAGTAACACTACAGGTGTTTCAGTATTGTTCCTCCCCTGCGCCTGGCCAATGCTCGGATACGATATGATAAACAGGAAGAGACCTGTTGGGCAGGTGTGATCGTCAGGACATTCGAAGACGAACTGAAATTTTGGAAATGGAGAGGCCTGAGTCACTCGCACCCAACTCAACGACATGAGTATGTATTTTAGCATACTATTCCCCACTATTCACGATTTTACCCGAAAAAAGTGCGTGTTTGCACCCCTCGAAAAGTTTGGGGCCACGTAAAGTTTGGAATCACGAGAGGAAACAAAATCCTAACATCAAAAAGAAATAATTGATTCGGGACATGACAAAGACAATGCAATGTTCGATTGAAAATTTGGCATAATTATCTGCATGATGAAAGATGGCTTACGAATAAAAAAATTGAAACTTTTTCGAAGAGCCAGCAATATTAATTTCATTTTCATAGGAAATTATTCATGTTTTGTTAAGAGAGTTATGGAGATGGTATTATGTTCAATAAATACTGGATATGCCTGAATATTATTAAAAAAATATTGAAATACAAAAAATAAAAATGAAAAAATTAATGGAAGCTTCAATAGGAGACAAGGAAAAATCAGCTGTGTGAACTTGGAGTCGAAGTTTGATAAATCGATTGTCTTTCTTATAGTATCGATTGTACTGAGTGAGTATCTGAATGTACTACATACATTCATTTTCATTTGTACCCCGCACCCCTAGACGTAAGATGTGCGGGAAAAATCGTGCAGCGTCGGAAATGAAGGTACGGGAAAAATTTTCATGAGCAAGGATTCAGCATGGATAGTACTTGTATGTACTATATTTTTCAATTTCATTTATCAACCCCTTCAATACTTTACCCGCTTCTAAAATCTTAAATGTATGAAGGACATCAGGAAAACATATAGATAACTTCAAATCGTTAGTACTCGTTTGTACCAACGAAAATTATTTATTATTATTATTATTATTATTATTATTATTATTCTCATCAAATCACCTGAAACTATGAGAGATAGAGCCTTAAAACCACTTTTGGGCTCCCTATAGGAAGATGGACGGCTCAGAATTACGTTTTTCCACGTCCTACACCCTATACAAGATAAATTAAATTTTTTTTTTTT